CCCCAGGGCCAGGCAGCCCCAGGGCCAGGCCACCCCAGGGCCAGGCAGCCCCAGGGTCAAACATCCCCCAGGGCCAGGCAGCCCCCAGGGCCAGGCAGCCCCCATGGCCAGGCAGCCCCCAGGGCCAGGCCACCCCAGGGCTTGGTGCTGCCCACTGTCTCCACCACCTCCACCCTCCTAAGGGCAGCCAGGACTTGGCTGGTGGAGGAGCCCTGCACCCCAGGGGCCAGGATGCTGGTACCCACCATGAGCGCGTCCTCACGGTTCCACATGAGGGAGAGACCAGCGCGGGAGTAGACCTTGGTGTAGACCTCATTCTTCTCGATGAGCAGCCCAGAGCTGTAGTGTGGGGTGCTGACCCTGCGGGGGCACCACAAGTCACTTGCCAGCACCTGGCCCCGGCCCACCCTTCTTGTCCTCTCGGGGTCCTGCTGCCCAGAGGGCACTGAGGCTGGGTGCATGGTGGGAGATGGGGGATAGCTGCTGGCCTGGCCTCACACTGGGGCCACAAACAGACTTGGCCAGGCCCCGGGGGGCCCATGAGAACACCTCTAATGGGCTGGCCAGGTTCCTTGGGGCAGGACGACCTCAGACTGCTCATCTCCTTTCACACTGTGGGCACTGTCCTGGCCAGGGCCCTCCCAGGAGCCCTGAGAGTGGGGGGAGAAGGAGGCCAGGCCACCCACCCCCCTGCCAGGCCCTCTCTCAGTCTGCCTGGGGCGGGGCTTCAGCCCCCACCCACCCCATCACCCCAGACAGTCTTGAGGCTCTCGGGGGACCTCCCTCGGGCACCTGCCTCACCCAGGGGCCCTCCTGCTCTCCACCCACCATGACCCAGGCCGGGCAGGCCAGGCAGGGTAGGAGCTCAGCTAGAGTCTAGTGTAGGAAACAGAACCCCTGGAGCAGGAAGAGGGCAGGCCCGCAGGTGGGAACCCACTGGACATTTAAGAGGGCCTCATTGTCCCAGAGACAATGAGGGGACAATAGCTAGCCAGGGTGGGCAGCTCCTGTAACTCTACCCTGGGGAGCAGCTCTGGCAGCCTCCAGGCACCCCAGGCCAGGACCACTGGCCAGCTCCAAGGGGAGGGACCCCTGTCAACCTCCAGGGGCCTCAGCACTGTGTGCGGAGGGAACTGTGACCCGAGTCTACCCTCAGGGCCTTCCCCCTGGCCACCAGCCGGAGCAGCCGGGCCTCACAGGGGCTCTCTAGACCACAGAGCCCTCCCTAGGCTCCGGGATGGACGCTGCCCAAGCCCACTCACATGGCCCCATTCACCACAACCAGTTGGTGGGTGAGGTAGATGGTGTCATCCTTGACGGTCAGCAGGATGGACTCCACCTGAGGATGGCCCCCACCCTGGCCCTGGCTGCGCTTCAGGTGCACGGCAAATTCCTTGTAGGAGTCTCGGCAGTCGGAGGCGAAGTTGTAGTCACAGAGGCCGGGGAAGCGGAAGACGTCCCCGTCGAAGGTCTTGTAGTGGAAGTCACCCCAGGTGCTGCAGACGCTGTGAACATGGCTTCGGGGTCTGGCCTCTGTGGGGACCGTGGGGGCACGGGGTGAGCCACCCAGGCCCAGGGAGTTCTGCCCCAGTCCACCCCAAGCTGGCCCCAGAGGTAGCCATGTCCAGAAGGCCCCCCACTGCAGGAGGACCTCTGAGGCCTGGGTCACGGCCCGGGGTCTCAGCCCCAGGAGCACATCTCCGGCTGCCTGGCCTGGGGTGCGACCCAGCGGGCGGTGAGGGCCGGGGGACTGTCAGGCACCCTGGTCACTCTGTCCACCTGGTGCAGAGCCCTGATGGAATGGAGGTTCCCTAGTCTTTGGGGCTGAAGTGACCCTTCACCAGGTGGACACAGCCCCTCTTCAGAGGTGCCGCCCAGGCCTTGACCCGCCAGGGCTGTCCTGGGACCCCCCGCCCCCACCCCGGAAGCACCCCTCAGGTGTCCTGCTGATCTCCCACTGGGCGTGGGGTCCCCCGGGCCCCTCTGGCCAGGCTCTCAAGCTCAGAGGGACAGCAAGGGCCGCAACAATTCATCCAGGTTGTCCAGTGTACGCAGTCCGGCGGACGCCAGGCAGAGGGGACCAGCCCACTGCAGGCGCTGGGCCTGCTCCTGGATGCCTGGCCTTCCTGTCCCAGCACTGTCTGCCCATCCCCTCCACCTCACCGGGCTTCTCACCTCTCTGGAGCTCAGAGCCTCCAGCCAAGGCCAGGGCCAGGCAGACGGCCACTAGGCGGGCCAGTCGCAGCCCCATGGCGGCTCTGAAGGGCACTGTGGGAGAGCACCCCGGCCTGGAGCCCGGGACTTATATGCCCCAGTGGGCCGTCGAGGGCGGAGGGCAGGGGAGGGGCAGAGGGTGGGGGCGTGGGCCAGATTATCAAGAAAACAGCTGTGGGGGCTCGTGGAGACCACAGTGGGAAAATATTGATTCAGGTTATCTGCATTTATCTTTTTATGACTCCCTGGGCAAACTCGGCCTTCCTCAGGATGCAGCAGCCCAATGACCCAAATGCAGAACACACCCAGGGCCACCCTCCCACCCCTCCCTGCCACTAGCGGACCAGGCCCAAGGGGACAGGGTAGGGGCTTTCCCACCGGAAGCGTGTCCTGGCAGACTCTATGGGCCCACTCAGCCCTCCAGACCACAGTCCAGTGCCCCCCCGCCAACAAAGACCAGGATGAACACGGGCTTTGGGCTGGAAGATCCATGACCAGCATTTACCAGTCTCTTTCATTCCCGGGACCCCACTCCTCCCCAGGCAGTGTGGACTGAGATGGCCACAGGTCCCCAAAGAGCTCAGGCCTTTGTCACCCCAGGGCAGCCAAGCCCACCCATCAGGGGTCCAAACTCTGGGGAGCGGGCAGGACTTGACCACCTGTACCTCCCCGTGTGCAGGCAGCCTGTGAGCTCCTGTGGGGCTGGGGTCCACCCCGCTGCAGGGAGCTCTTCGCCTGGGTCAGAGCCCAGCTGGGTCCCCTCCCTAATCCCCCTGTTTTCCTAGCCTAAGCCAGTCTCTGGAATTACATGTAATTAGAACTTGAGGAGCACCAGTCCAGCCAGGGACACTTGCCGGAACCYGGTCCCCTGGAGCATGGAGGAACTGGCTCAGTGCCTGGAATGACTGTCCCCGAAGGAATGAGGCCCAGGTAGGGAGGGAGCCCCCGCAGCAGGCCTGCCCTCGCAGACGCCCCCGCCTGCTGCTGCTTCCCTTGGGGGTGCATGAGGACAGGGGTCTGGAGGGGCAACCTGCCCAGGCTCCCCTGGCCAACCTCACCAAGGCAGTGGATCCTGCTCCAGGGAGGACAGTGGCCTCTGATGAACCTCGGGCCCTCTGAGCGAAGCCCAAAGCTGGACATTGGCTCAGCACTGCCGGGAACCATGTGTAGCCCTTGAGCCTACACCAGCCCCAAACCCAAACCCACCGAGGGGCCGGCTCTCGAGGCCACACAGAGAGGGAGAGGCACCCACTGGCACCCCCCCCCTGGAGCAGGAGATAAACTAGAATCTGGAGTCCCTCCCCTCACTGCGTTTTCATCCTCCTGAAAACAGACAATCCTGAATTCAGTTTCAGTGTAGCCGGATGCTCACAGTGGGCTCAGGTCAGCCTCAGATGCCAGTCGGGGTCCTGAGGTCCAGAACAGTGAGGAGGGATTCGTCTGCTGGCCGTGGAGGAACTGGGTCAAGGCACTGTGCCTCTTCCCCKGCCACACTGCTGCCCTGGCCAAGGTCCACACAGGAGGTGACCTGGGCTAGAGGGGAGCCCCTGCTAGGGCCAGACTTTCTTCACCACCAGCGTCAGAGCCTGTGTTCTGAGGCCACCTCACTCTCAGGCCTCTAGACCACGACAGGAGGGACCCTCAGGCCATGGTGACAAACGGGACCGGAGTGGAGTCCTTGCCCTCTAAGGATGCCAGGGGCCTGGGGGGAAGCCCCTCACCTGGCCCCACTGTGCCCACTAGTTCCGGCCTGGGGTCCATCCTCTCAGCCAGGGCTTGAGCGCAGGGGACGCTGAGTGGGTGGCCCAGGAGGGATTAGGGAACTGAGCTGGCTGGTGGCAACACTATTGTACCACTTCCCTGTCTAGGCTGCGCCTGCTGGCACCAAGCCCCGAGGGAGCCAAGCAGCCACCCAAGGGCAGTGATTTTCCATGCCAGGCCTTCTCTGCTTCGGAAGGGACCAGAGGGGCTCTAGCACAGCAGCCCTGCCCTGAGCTCCAAGAAGGTGGGTCCTCTCTGGATGAAGGGGAAATCCTCCTGATGGGGAATGTGGGTCCTCCCTGAGGGAGAAGGGAGAGCTTAGAGAGAAGATAGATCTTCCTGGACAAAGAATGTGAGATCCTCCCGATGAGAAAGGTGGTCCTCCCTAATGATGAAGATGGGTCCTCCCTGATGGAGAAGGTGGTCCTCCCTAATGA